GATAAAGAAAAAGAACATTTTCAAAACATCAGTTTTCAAAACATCCGCCATCTTGATACATTTCGACAAAAATATTTAAGTTAATCTAATACTGGGAGGCCTTCTTTTAGTTCAAATTCAATCATCCCTGGGTGATTGATTTGCGACCAGGCCTGCATATGAATTCGCCAAGGTTGTAAGCCAGTGAGCCCGTGCATTTTTGTTAAGCGGTCATATTTAAAAGTGTAAATAAAGAAAGGAAAAACCCGCAGCTCGCCTTTCACTCAGACAAACAGTACAAGTCGTGTTAAATTTATTTACATAACTAAACAAAATGATTATAGAATTAAACCTTTAAGAATTGAATGCTCATATGAAACATTTTACACCTTAAATACACACGTGTTTTTCAGAAGGGAATTTAGTCGAACTTTTTTCACGATGGAATTTTGTTTTGAGTCGTTTCGACATAAACAGTCGCTATCAAGACATTACACGAAAAACCCCAGTCACCGTTCTAGCTCTCGTTGTAAGGCCAGAGCTAGTAAATGTGTAACTGGACCGTTACATAACGTCAAATCGTCGAGCACGCTTGCGGCTTATTGCCGAAAATGAAACAAAGAATGAACTACGACCGTTGTTTGTACCAAAAATAACAAACGCTTTAACTCTATTGGAATACGTGGACCTAAGCTGCTCTASYTCWTCCAKTGAWGTTGTAGATACCTCAAAGCTTAGAGGAAACAAGAGCTAAGAAAAATGATTTGCAATGGTTCCTCCTAAGATACATTGGGCTTGAACGTCGATTCAACGACCTTCTGAAGTCTACATGAAGTCGGTCATTGCTTCGCATGCAATGGAGAACCCGCGTAGAACACAGAACAATTATTTCTATCGGGGAGGGGAGCCTCGTGGTATTAAAGAAAAAGTTATTTGTTTTTTCATTTTTAAGATAAAATTCTCTTTCTATAACGATAAATATTTGATTGACATTTAAAAGCTATTTTATAAAGATTTGCAATTTCTCTTTGCGTTTTAGCTTTGATTTTTCGGATATAATAAAATGACAGGCAGCCTACTCCACTGGGTCGAGTTTTGCTGTGCAAATTCCTCCCGTCGGAGGGTAATGTTTACAACATAAGCTTGTCAGCTTTGCGCTGATTGGCTATTCGCATTTTCTCAAATCACCCAGCCGTTTTTGGTTCTCTGAAGCCAGGTCACAGTTTTACTTTTTGTCAGCAAGACAACCGTTTGCCTTCACTGACAGTATGATTTACAAAACAATAGTTCATTCAAACTTTCACCTGTTAGAGATATTAATAACAAATGAACTCTAAACTATCGCAAAACACAATAAGAATCATCCCATAAGTTACTAGACTGAACCAGGGTTCGTACTCTTTTCAAGTTNAATTAATTTGCCGTCTGTGGTAAAATTAATAATAATATGTGGTATTTATATAGCGCCGATATCCTCTGAGTTCAAAGGCGCTTCACTTGTATAGATCATTTCACACGGACCGCTGTTTAAGGCGCAATTGACAGCCACGCGGCTTACAATCATGAGGTAAAATTAAAAAGCCTAATAAACGTTTCAAACATTCGATGTCTCCTCAGTTGATATACTTGATCACGTCCTGAGTAATCCAATTAATTCTGCACAACAAGGCATTCTTGGAAACAATAGAGCACTGAACTCAGGAAAACCAAATCAAAGTAAATAGTAACAAATAACGGCTATCTAGAGACAAATTTTCAGTATCAATGAACCAGCACTGGAAAAAATCGCGCGCCATAAAGGTTGTAAATTGGATAGAAATATGTTGTAAGTGTCCAAAATGATGGACATTTACAATGGACAAATGATGGACAAAAATATTAAAGTTAATCTAATACTGGGAGGCCTTGTTTTAGTTCAAATTCAATCATGCGTTTTTGGTTCTCTGAAGGCAGGTCACAGTTTTACTTTTTGTCAGCAAGACAACCGTTTGCCTTCACTGACAGTATGATTTACAAAACAATAGATATTAATAACAAATGAACTCTAAACTATCGCAAAACACAACAAGAATCATCCCATAAGTTACTAGACTGAACCAGGGTTCGTACTCTTTTCAAGTTCTCGAACTCCATGACTTTTTCCATGACCAAATATGGAACCCCTCTTCACTCAGTAGCATGTGACCTTCAAAAGGTCACAAATTGGCAGCAAGCCGATTCAATTGATTAAACTAGCTAAAAAAGTTCATTGAATATACTACGCATTTGTTTTGAATTCAAAATAGTCAGGAAATAGTCATAAGTGTAAAAAAAAAAAACAAAATGACAAAGCAAGAATATTTTCCAGACATAACGACTGGAAAACTAAAATACGAATTTCCAAGACTTTCCACGAGCATTCAATTGATACACTAACTCGTTCATTAAATATAAAGCATTTAGTAAATAGTCGTAACTGAAATTAAAAAAAATAAATGACAAAACAAGAATATTTTAAATGACTTTCCACGACCCTCGACACGGCAAAATTCCATGAAGTTCAAACTTGGGAAACAAAAATGCGAAATTCCACATGACTTCCCAGGTTTTCAGGACCAGCAAGAAACATTTGAAAAAGATTTCATMGTCAATTCTCATCGTCAGGCTTATTAAAACTATAAAGGTTTGAAGTAAAATGGAATGAGTTCTCGATTCTGACTTTTTGGATCTAAATTTTGTTGTTATTTTTTCACATTAAACAGGTTGTCCCAGTGAAATCAGTGACCCCTGCAAATGTTGTAAATTGACTGAACTTTTCTCAGACAAAAAGGGCAGGCTAAACCTACCTCTCCCTATTAAAAATTCATTGATAATCAAATGTCATGACAGAAATGCTTGGTTCACTTAATCTCAAAGCGTTAGTAGCTTTCACATGTRGTTTCCAGACTGAAGACAAGCATTGGACAACAAAACGTAAGAATTGATAGCTTAGTAACAGATATTTACTCTCGATGTCCTTATGGCGAAATCGTTAATTCATTTTTGTGTCTTTAGTGATTTCTGATAATTCTTTTAGAGATAATCTATTTTTCAATCATTCCCATGAGATTAAAAAGATAAAAGACCGGCGACCATGTTCTTGAATGAATGAACAATAGATTCTAATGGGAAAACATTTGTTGAAGTTCAAACAAGATGACCGCCGCTGCGTTTATTGCAAATGAAGAATTATATGATAATTCATCACCGGAACTGGAAAGCTTAATGTAATTATTTGTGTCAGAAGTGTAATTAGCTGTTTTATTCTTGAATTTCAGTACTTTCTAAGTTAAATTGAGACATTGAGATATGATGACTTCCCTTAAGGTAAGATGCAAAAGACTTCTCGTTTTTTTTTAACTTCATGACTTTGACATTCTAGCGTGTTTATTCCTTTGGTTATTTCAAACCAGTTAATTTTTTTTAAATTGCTCTTCTTTAATTTTTATTTCTTTTTCAGTTGCTTTTGTTCTCGTGCAGTTTTCATATAAGTCTYTCATGGGTCTCGAGTCTCGAGTGCAAATACGAATGCTGTCGAAACAATGAATGTGTTCAAAAGAACGAGACAAGGCAGTGCAACACGGAAGGCGCTCAATGCTATACAACAAGCTACGACGTCATACAGACACCACTTCTAAACGCTGCGAAAATGAGAGTGAAATCTTGCTCCGAAACAAAACGTATATGTAACCAAGAGGAATTTTGCAAGAAAAAATCCAAGATATTTTCCAACGCAGGCTTTCCTATCACAAACTGCGCTGTGAAATGTTGCAATACTGATTTATGCAATGCATAGCTACTGTGTCTAAATAATAACGAAGAACGAATGCAGAGATTTATTATAGTGAGTTTATGATAACAGCGGTAGTCAYGTGCTTATTCTTGCATGGATGACTGACAGGAAGGCACCTGACAGCAAAGGACAATTCSTTTTTCCTTGCTTAACATTTCTGATTTTCCAGACTTTTAATGTAATTTATCTTCATTGTTGAAGACATTATGTTACATTATAGTTTATCTTTCTTATATTTCTCGTCATAATTGCTCGATTTATCTTTATAGACAAGTTATTCAGAATTCATGCATTTCGGACCAACGGGGAATCARGTGTCACAGAATACTCCATTTTACAGTTCCAAGCGCCATCTTGAAAGGTAGCCGAGCCTTTGCATCAAAGCGAGACAGTAATTCAGCCTGCACTTATAGATACCTCAGTTTGTTCACATCTAAGACAATTATTCACAGGTATCTATCATTGAAAGCTCAACTCCTGTCTCGCTTTTGATGCAAAGGCTCGGCTACCTTTCAAGATGGCGCTTGGAACTGTAAAATGGAGTATTCGGAGTATTTATAAAATTGTTGATATATAACGCGCGCTTTGATTGGCTGACGACCGTGTTTATATCAGAGAASAGAGACACGCGCGTCGTTTTATATTTCTTAATTGTACCCTTCATTCTACTTGATTAAGTTTCATTGATATTTATCTTTAATAATAATCATTATATTCACCTACCATTAGCTTCTTTCTTCTCCAGAACTGATCGATATTTGATCTCATATATCTTGAGAAGGTAAGTGGGCCATGATTTCGAAAATCCTAAACAAACAAAAACCAAGTGAATACGTCTTATTCTCACAAAAACGAGATGACAAGCTCAACTGGAGATTACACTGGAAAAAGCGCGCTCCTTGAAGTCTTTGTAAATTTAATGTAAATATGATGGAAATTGAATCTAAAATAATAAGTGTCCAAAATCATGGAAGAGAATAGCGTGTAAATTTGGATTTTATTTTACATAATACTTCCATTAAATTTGCATCGTTTGTAAAAAGTATGTAAATGCGATGTAAATATTATTTAGTGTCCAAAATCATGTAAATAGTGTTAATTTAAAGAGCGGTTTTTAAGTGTAAAAGTACTATTATTTTAGTCAAAAAGGAAAAACTATGGAAGTTTTTTTGTGAGGACGATGAAGGAAATAGTCATGCTACAATAGACGATAAAAACGCTAACCACCAAGAGAACAAGCTGTTGAACAAACAGTTTCATTGTGCACTCAATTTTATTCWCATTTACTTGATGTTTTACATAAGTATTAGATAAGAAAAGAGATGTATTTACAATAATTATATCGAGTATTGATCAATTAATAATGAAAAAAATGTATGTTGACCAAAGAAGCAGAGCTTTCGAGTTGGTCAACATAATGATTATATGGACTAGGCGATCTGCCAGTTTATCACGTGTTGGGTCTTAGCCAATCAGCGCGCGGTTTCAGACTGAAGGAATTCACCAACCCAAAAAGCACTGCAAGCTGAGAATATTTATCTATTATTAGTTG